GTATTGTTTTGGAGGCTGTTGGTCCAGCCCGGCCTCGAACTCAGAGATCTGCCTGCCTCTGCCTCCCGAGTGCTGGGACTAAAGTGTGTGCCACCACCGTCCGGCAAATATTTGATTTATGATAGGAAATATATGTGTGTGTGCATATACACATACATACGTATATACAGTTGAACCAGTAGAGAAGTAGGAACTAATATACGTGACAGAAAATTTACTACTGTTTAACTGGTAGTAACTTCAGGGTTTTATGTCAGTTTCTTCCCTGGCCATTCTTTTTTTTTTTTTTTTTTGCTTATGTGAAATTGGAATCTTGCCATGGCATCATGGATTCAAGAGAGGAGAGTTCAAGTTCCTGACTTGGAGCAAAGGCAAACAAACGCATGCAGACAACATGGGCTTCCTGGAGCCTCCATCTGAAATTGCTCCCGGGGATTGTAGGTGGCATCCAAGCGGGGGTTTTGTTTTTCAAAAATCAGATGGACAAACCAATGCCACTCTCTACACTTTAATTAAATGTGTCTCAGTGTGGTGGGTGCCATCTCCCACAATCCCAATGGGACCAAAATAAGATTAACTGAACACACAGCTAAACTGAGAGCCAGGACAACACAACCTGAACACAGACATCGAGAGCCTCCCTCAGACACTCACCAACTATAGGCTGTGTTTCAAGAAGGCAGGCTAACTCCTTGGTACCACAAGCTTGGGCATAATAGTCATTAACCAAGGTTGGCAAGGGGGAGATGATCACAGAATGCTCAAATAAAAAAGATCTGAATGCATTTCTTTCTGAGACAGGGTCCAATGTAGCACAGGTGAACCTCGAGCTGGCTGAGTCGCGGATGAACTGGAAGTCCCGATCTGACGGCTTCTACTCACCAGTGGCTTGAATTACATGACAGACCCATGTGCCTCCTCCACTCCTGCTTAGGCAGTGCTGGGGATTGAACTCCAGGTCTCTGGTCCTGTGCTAGGCTGGTGCTCTACCCACTGAGTCACACATAGCCGTCAAATACAAAAGACTACATTAGGGGCCACTAAGATGGCTCAGCAGGTAACGGCACTTGCCACTAAGTCTCACAAACCAATGTCCATTCCTGGGACCAACAGAGTAGAAGGAGAGAACTAATTTCTGCAGATTGTTCTTTGACATATATGCCCTCTCTCTCTCCCTACCTCCTCTCTAAATAATGTAACTTAAAAAGTAAAGATTATATTAAAATAGTTCCTTCACACTGCTGAAATATTAATTCAAAATTGTGGGGAAGGTGGCTTACAGGACTTAATTAGCAAATATATTTTCAAACAGCTCCTCGGGGTTCAGACAAGAGGGGAAGTCTGAGTTCTGAGAGACACCCCTCCCAGAGATGATCATGGAGGATCTTCCTTGAAATGGGATGTTTTCAAGTGAATATGTTTGAACCACTGTTGTATCAAGCACAAAATGAAGCTTTTACAAAAACCAAACTAAGCCGGGCGTTGGTGGCGCATGCCTTTAATCCCAGCACTCGGGAGGCAGAGGCAGGCGGATCTCTGTGAGTTCGAGACCAGCCTGGACTACCAAGCGAGTTCCAGGACAGGCTCCAAAGCCACAGAGAAACCCTGTCTCGAAAAAAACAAAAAAACAACAACAACAAAAAAAAAACCAAACTAAGATTTGCCAGTTTCAGTGATGAGGCAAACTGTAATGTGCTTATGGTCATTCAGTTTGAGAGGAAGAGATTTTGCTTAAGTGCTCCCACCACATGTGGATTTCAAGAAGCATTAGACTTGTTGGCCATTCCTCTTAAGACCAGGTCATATACAAATCAAAACTGCTCAGTGGGCCAGGGATGTAGCTCAGGGGCAGAGCTCTTGCCTCTGGCCCTGAGTTCAATCCCCAGATCTGCAGAAAAGAAGGGAGGAGGGGTAGGAGGCAGAGAGGGAGCAAAGGAGAAACTGAGTGATCACAATCACAGTATGTCTGCAAAATGTCCTATCACATCACAATGAGCAGGAATGAGTTGCTAAACTGGACGAGCCTTAAAAATACCCTAATTAGAAGAACCTATTTATCCATAAGAGAGGATATATTGTATAGTCCCATATGTATGTACATATTTATGAATATATATGAGTATGTATATGTGAAGATAGATAGATAGATGATAGATAGATGATAGATAGAAGATAGATATGAAATGTCGAGGATGGAGGTGGTCTACAGGGCCAGAAAACAGGAAAATGGGTGGCACCTGGACAGAGGGATGTGGAGGAGAGAGAAAGATCAGGTGGTTTTTGAGAACTTCCTAAAACTCATTTTAGTGATGGCTATGCAACAATGAGCTCACTGGAAACTACCAGGAGGTTCTCTTTACATGCAGACTACAGCACTGTAAAGCTGGGTTTTTTGTTTGTTTGTTTTTTGTTTCCATTTTTCCAGTTCTCAAGTCACAATTTTTCATCATTTGCCATAAAAACCTTCATTAAGCCATTTGAGTTCATGGTAGTGTGTCAGAGAATATACACTGGAGTATTTAATGGCTGAAGTTACACATCCGTAATTTGTCTAAGAATAACCCATTGTGTTAAGAGGAGGGAGTGTCAAATATTCGGATATAGCTAGCGCCTGTGACTGGTGATGGGTCAACCCACATGGGCATTACATTCTCCTTTCTATATTTGTTAAAACTTTAATTTTTTCCATAATGAAATGTTAAAATTGGAAAGGGGGTCTTAGGATTTCCTGGTCACTTCTATGAATTCTCTCTCTCTACCCGTGTGTGTGTGTGTGTGTGTGTGTGTGTGTGTGTGTGTGTGTGTGTGTGTATGTGTGTGTGTATACAGGTTATGTGTGTGGTATATGTACTTGTTACTATGCCTGCATGTGTATGGTGGCAGAAAATGACAATAGGTACACTCTCCACCATATTTCATTTGTTGAGACTGGGTGTCTCATCAGTTTGGCTAGACTGACTGACCTTCAGGGACCCACTTGTGTCCAACTTCTCCTTACCCCATCCCAGACACTGGGGTTACAGACTCCCCTCTGCCCACACCCAGCTTTTAGATGGGTTCTAAGGATTTAGACTCAGGTCCCCATGTTTTACTGACTACAAATCTTTTTAATAAACTAGCTACCTTGAGAGAATGCTGAATTATGATTTTACAAAGGATAAACCCACAAAATACATACAAGATTCTGGTCCAGAGTACTTAGAGGAAAGAAATGCAGCTACCGTTTAGATGACTAGCCTGGGGGCAGAGGAAGGGTATTATTCTCATTCCTATTCTATTTAGAGCCCCCATATTTGGAGGTTTTCCAGAACACTCACACACACAGTAGTAGAGTCCAGAGACAGGACTACAGGGTGGAATTCTGTCAATCTAATACATAAGTTGTGAACTTCATTCACTATAGCACCAAGAGACTGGGGTCCTAACTTGTAGAACCATTTAGCAAAGGTGTTTAAAAGAGAGAAGGCTCAGAGGTTAAGAGCATTGGCTGCTCTTCCAGAGGACCAGGGTTCAATTCCCAGCACCCATGTGGCAGCTCACAACTGTCTCTAAATCCAGTTCCAGGAGATTTGACACCTTCATATCAATGCACATAAAAATAAAATTAAAGAAAAAAGATGAGTAGATTGCCAGGCAGTGCCGGCATGCATCTTTAATCCCAGTGCTTCAGAGGCAGGAGAAGGCTGATCTCTGTGAGTTCAAGGCCATCCTGGTCTACAGAGTGAGTTCCAGAACAGCCAGGATACACAGAGAAACCCTGTCTTGAAAAACAAAACAAAACAAACAAACAAACAAAAAAGAGCAGATTGACACTGGGTGATACAAAATTCTGAGCTAGGCCAGAGAAACTTTATGTTCTTAATGTTCTTATTCAAACCATTACTCTAGGTTCAATAAGTTCTCCCACATTTTTGAAATTTACATTTGTCTTGACTCTGGATATGCTTTGACCAGTAGAGCACAAAATGTACACTCACTGCAGATGATAGAAAAAGCTATAGCCCAGGCTCTCAGAGTGCATTAGTTCATAGAGAGGTCATTTGTTTTACTCATCCTCCGAGAGCATTGCACAAAGACCTGTTTCCAAGGCTCTTGGCCCCTAGCAAACCTCGAGGGGTTGGATGCCTTGAAAGCTGTGACACAGTTAGGAGGTAGGAATGAGTAGCCATCCCGTCTACAGATGCGTGCTCACTGGCAGCCACTTTTCTCAGGGGCAGGCTTCCCTGTGCCCACTGGTCAAGGAGGCAGGACCGGGTGGGTGTCAGGACAGGCATCCCCAGCTAGCTGCCCCACACTTCTGGAGTTCTAGTGAGTGCATTCATAATGGAAGGTTCTGTTTCTTGAGCAACCACTTCTGCAGGGCAGCCTTGGTGGCTCCAGGAACCCACCTAGGGTTTGAACCCTCCTCTAATGACCAGGTACAAGCCATCAGTCATACACAACCTCTTATTACCTCTGAGCTCCTCAGGGTGCAGTCACTCGACACCAGATACACTCTCATTTATCCGTGCTTTAGTGAAGAATAAAAACAAATCAATCTCCTCCCCCTCTTCAATCTGTCACTTTGCCCATCCCAGAAGTACCCCACCCTGCACGGGTATTGTTGGTGTATCGGTGAGAAAAACACATCAACATCCCTGCCTTGCGGGAGTTTACTTTGCCAATGCAGTACAAATATTCAGTGACCAAAAAAGCTTGAAATTATTTTTCTCCCATCATGGTCATGCCACTCTCTCAAAGAGCTTAATACTGTGCTTAATGTCAACTTGACTGGAAACAAAATCCTTAACGTGTAAGAACAGATGCTGCCCAGGTGCAATCCAATTCTCCCTTGAACTTGACTACCTCCCAACACTTTCCCCCCAACTCATCGTGGCCAAACACTTCAGGTGGCTTGAGGGTCTGCGCTCCCCAACTGAGGTCAAACAAAAACAGCGGAAGGGACCCTCCACAACCCACTGCCCAGTGGGTGAATCCCCGCAGAGGTGCACGGTACTCACCGAGGAGCCGGCCCAGAACGGGCACGAGTTCTTCACCTGCGGTGAACTGCTCAGCGACAGTGCCCCGAAGCTGAGCGCCACCATGCAGCAGCCCAGGATCAGCTGCAACAGCCCGAGCGACAGCAGTGGGCGCGCCGGCAGCAGCGCGGAGCCAGGCGCCGCGGGGCGGCGGGACGCGAGCGCGGGTGGCGGGGCCAGCACAGCGGCGGGGGCGCAGCGGGGCCGGGCTGGAGGCTGCAGTGCGCCCCGGGGCCAGCGCGGCCGCAGCGGGGGCAGGGGCGGCTCCTGTGCGGCGGCGGTCGCGACGCCAGGACCCCCGGCCTGAGGTCCGCCCGACAGCCCGGCCACCGGGCAGCAGGAACCCGGGAGCACCACGGGCAGAGACATGGGCGCGCGGCGGGCGGGTGGCGCAGCCGAGCGGAGGGTGCCGCGCACCGGGCACCCGCGCCGGCGCCGAGCAGGACGGACTGCGCACGGCCCAACCACTTGCTGCCGCGGCCCGCGCCGGCCGCGCCCACCTGCCCCGCGGGGCCCGCCCCCCGCCGATCCCTCTCGGTCACCCACAGTGACAAGTGCGCCGCCACTTCGGGGTCACCCGGGAAAGGCGTCAGGAAACGGCGGGGGCCCCAGCAGCTAGCGGCCCACCGTTCAGAGTCTGTCCCCAACAGCGGCGCCAAGGGAAGCGTAGTAGACTTGGGCACCTCCGAGGGCGGTCCTGAAAGTGGGACCCTGGCGACCTTTAAATGGGAAGGAAGTCCAGTGTGAGTCTGCCCCCTCCCCCTGCCGGGAGGAGGGGCTGCTGGCAACCCGACGGGAAAAGGTCCAAGCCAGGGAAGACGATGCTTCCCTGGACGTAACTGCCTGTGAGTGCGACCTGTATCTACGACCTCCACGGGAGGATTCCCGGTGCTGACGCTGCAGCCCTGCGGGGAGAGGACGAGGTGCTTTCCCAGCACCAGAGTGGGAACAAGAGTAGCAAGACAAAAGTTACCTTAGGAGTCACTACCCAGCATTCACAATGGAAGAGCCCAGGGCGACCCTGTCCAATTGGCAGAGTCACAGGCTCCATCCTTCTGGCTTTTACCCGGAGCTAACTGACATCACCTGATAGAACATAGAAACCCAAACTTCCCAGGAAATAGTCTAATGAAATCGTAATCTACTTTAGCAATCTGTGATACATCTATTGAACTTTAAAGAAAAAGCAATTATTCGCCTTTGCACAATAGTTTCCTCTAATAGAATGTCTAGACGTCTAATGTATCATAGGTGAGCTGCTGATAGGGGGCTTCTTTTCCAGTACGAGCCAGAGCAGTGTCAGTTCTAGTATTTGAAAGCTTGTTTTATTGGAAAGGTGAGGGAATTTAATTCCCTCCTGTTCACTAAAACAAGACACACGCAGGTTTCTCTGAGTGCTCTGATTGTAAAGGCTGTACGTATGTTGTCATTGCTTCATACTGTGTAATGTACTACCAATGTTTATATGTTTACATACACACTCTTTAAATCATTAAACCACTTGTACCTGGGATTAATAGTGCCTGGGATTTCCTTTCAGATTGCTCCCAGGAATAAACTTTAGGGTTTGGAGGGGAAAGTAGATGCCTTTGTAAATAAATGCTGGAAGTCTGATGTCTTGTCTACTTTAAAAAAAAACCTACAATAGATGCTATCAAATTGCAGATGAAGATGAATTAAGTTTCCTCGGTACTGTGGTTATAACGTTTATCTTAAACACAAGCTTAAAAGTATTTAATTGTTAAGGCTGGATGATACCCTGAAATATAGTATGTCTGCTGAGTGTTCAAACATTCTACTAAACAAATCTATTCCATTGGCTAGCACCTGTCACCTGAACCGCGCTATTAAAAATGCATCCCCTGTGTCTAAGAATGTTGGTGGTAGAAGTCACAGTACCCTCCTTTCCTTGGTGATACCTATGACTAGGACAGGATTGGGGGAAGTGCTGATGGCAATCCATTCCTTAGTGCCAATGCTAATTACACAGCAAGGGTCACTGTGAAAATCCATACCGGTACACTTAGGGTCTATCTGTTTCTTCATGTTTTACTAAGGATCTACATAAGAACTTCAAATGCCCCAAGTTTCTAGGAATTTCCTCTATGTAGAAACAGACAGTAGCAAAGATAAGTGAAACTCATAGACGGTTTTTTTGATCTCCCAGCTCTACTCCTTAGAAGCTCACAAGCCCTTCCTCAAGACTCCTACCTAAGGGAGCTGTGTTGTTCTGTTTCTCTCCCCGCCCACTCCCTCTGTTATTGTCAACATTTATGGCAGTGAGTTTCTTTTTCTTGTTTCCATAAGCACAAATCTAGCTGAAACTGTCCCAGTCTTCAAAGTGACACCAGTTAGGGCCCTCCAGTATTGATGCTTGCGGTTCCCGCAACCAGAGCTTGCTACATGCCACCTCACAGAAACGCCTGCTTCCGGTAAGTGTTCGGTCATACTTGACTGAGCTGTATGAAACAGATCTCTTACAACAAAGACTTGAAGCACTGAGCTGTATGAAACAGATCTCTTACAACAAAGACTTGAAGCACTGAGTCCAGCTTGGTGTAGAAGATAAGAGCAAAATGGGCAGGGAATGGAACTCCAGTGACCGGTGGGGGGTAGGGATGGAGGGTGGTAACTGAACCTTCCTCACAGGGTAGGGAGCTCCTCAAAAAGTGACACACAGAGTTAACATGAATCAACATTAAATATGTACAAAAATCATTTCATAATGCTCCATAGCCAGAAGACAGAAACAACCCAATAGTAAGTCAACGGGATGAACATAAACCTAAAACCTGGGGTGCCCACCCAGTGTAATGAAGGATTCTTGGATGCTACAGTATGGACGGACCCTGGAAACATGCTAAGAGAAAGGCCAGTCACAGCAGACACTCACTATGCAATTCCATTGCGATAAAACATCTACAGCAAACAAGTCCACAGAGACAGAAGGTCACTTTGTGGTTGTTGAGTGCCGAGGAAATGGAGATATTGTGCGGGGGCAGGTAATAGCTAATGAATATGGGGGCCGGTGTTTGTGTTTTTCCCCCCAGGGTGATAAAAGTATTCTACAATTGACCGTGGTGACTACTGCACAAATCCCTGAATATATGAAAAACACTGAATTATATCCTTCGTTTACAATGGACAAATTGTACACATAATATATGAACTAAATCTCAGTAGAGTTGTTACAAAAACAATAGGAAGACGCTGTGGAAAACTTGATCCAGATGCCTTACTAATATAGGTAAAAGTTCAAGGTAACAGCAGTTGCACAGTATTGTTTCATGGAATCCAGCAGTCAATTGTTCTTGAGATCAAAGTTAATTCCAAGAAGGGTCAGTTAATTCCCACACACTTTCCCCCTGCCCATCTCTCAAGCTCCGCTCCCAGGCTTAAAGCCTTCTCCACTGAGGAACCCTGCTCTCTGGACACTATTCAGCTCACTCTGGTTCCTTCCACACTCCTAGCAGACCGGCCCAGCAAAGCTAATTAAAGGACATTACTCCTGTCACAGTGGGAGCTGCTGAAGAAACTCTCTCAAAGCATGTTCCCTGGCAGCCTGCCTCTGCCTGTTATAGTTCACAACAAGGCAGGGCCTTCTCTGAGTTAAGAGAACCATGTGGCTCTGGAGCAACTTCTCAAAGTATGCTCCACAGATTCCTAACCCATGATACAGTGTGGTGTGCTGAGGATCATAGCTTTCCTCAGTCCAGTGGATCCTGAGTCTCTACCGGACAGCTTTATGATCATTTAGTAGAGGTCTAGGAACAGCCATTTTGTTATAAGGCAAAAGCAGGGCATTTGGTTTAAAAGCAAGCTTACATGTATGTGTGTTGAGGTGGGGCTGTTTTGCTTTCCAGCCAAATACTGCTACACAGGTGACTGTTAGACACACGGGTGGAAACGGAACCTGCCACCCCGAAGTGATCTCACACCAGTCTAGGGTTTCTGTGGCCTTAGTTACTGGGACAGCACAATCACTTGGATGCCCTTAAGCCTGCAATTTAGACATTTACCACCACCGTTTCTTGGACTGCCACTAAGAGAAGAGGGGCTAAGAAAGGCAGGCACACTGAGCTGTATGGATCCAAAATATCCAGGACAAAACCTCAAACTCCCTCTCCTAAACTGCGTCCTTGAGCCTCATGGCTGTAGTTTCTCTAGAGGGGTATGAGAGGATGTAGGGAAATGGATGAGTGGCAAGTTCCAAGGACCATTTCAAGACACAAAGGGACGTGTAGGTCTTGTCATTGTTGTTCAAAGAATGGAATAAATATGCATTAATCAATGAGTGAAACTCTGAGCATGGCTAGGCAAATTAGACCAAATGAATGGTAGAAAGTGGTTGTGAAAAACCGCTAATACCTTGGTTCCAACACAGATTTGTATGTCAACCAGGAAAGTTTCAGCCATATTTTTCTCATTGTTGAAATTAAATTCTTCCGGCATTGACTTAAGCCAACTGCCTTAAAAAGTGTGCTCCACAAGTTTCTAGGGTAAACTTGAGTGAGTGTGTGTGTGTGTGTGTGTGTGTGTAACCTATGGTATCAGAGTTTCCTGTAGTTTCAAGTGTCTGTAGAAGTCAAAGCTTTAATTCACCTTTGTCTAAGGTACTGATCGAATTTACCAAGGAAACTGAAAACTTCATACATTTTCTAAGGCCACACACCCTCAAAGGTGCTGATGTAGGAGGTCTGTGATGGAGTAAGGATATGCAGATGTGTTTAGCAGAAACTTCCTTGGAGATCTAGGTGTTGATCTATCAAGAACACCTTGGAGATAGAGACCAAGATATCATTCCAGGCAAGAGTTTGGAGGTGTGTGTGTGTGTGTGTGTGTGTGTGTGTGTGTGTGTGTGTGTGTGTTAAATGAAGCTTAAAGAGAACCCAGAGCCCAAGGCCCTGGTGTCAGGCTACCCGAGGCTGGAATATCTGGTGTCCCACTCCCTGCAGTGTGTGATCTGCCAGGCTCGGGCTCAAGTCCTGAAGGACAGAAGCTATGTCCCCTCCTCCACGGAGAGGCTTTGCAGACTGAGATGAGCCTGATTGTGCCAGGCCTCTCACAGCACAGATGGAACTGTATCCACACCATCCTGGCTGGGTTTGGGTGGTGAGAGAAGATCGAAACTGGAGACCCTGGTGTGAGCTTCCAGTGTTATGGGAAGAGACAGGTGGGTCCAGTCTTGGCAAAATTACCAAAGTGCCTTGAGTTTGGAATTTAAAAAGTAAAGTCACTAACATTGGGCTTTGTGAGCACAGACCTTAATGGCTGCACAAAGCAGAAGGGTGAGCATGCTAAGTGCCCCTGAGAGCAAATTCTGAAACCATTCGGAAAGCAGGAGCCTATGAAGCAACCATGTAGGGAATGGAGACCAGAAAAGATATGGAAATCG